ATACATACATACATACATACATACATACATACATACATACATACATACATACATACATACGATCGGCGACTCACCTGATCACCCCATTCGTTGATGACTGGCATACTGATATCATCAATGAACACAGTCATTTTACGTCCAGCCGGAGGTCCGTATGTACTACCCATGCGCTTATCCACAAAGCTCTCAATGGTTCTTTGAATAGCATTCGGTGTGGTCACACTGGAGAAATTCAGTGTCCGATGCTCATGCACTTCCGGGTTGTATCGACTCAGGTATTTGTTCACAATTACGGTTTTAGCTGTGCCCTTTAAATGAGGGTGAAAGCGAGAGAATGAGAACAAAGATGGCATATGAAGTCAGTGAATTCGATAGGCAGTGCATAAATCCATACGCTTTTAGCTGAAAGAACTGCAACGCAGTCCATGATCGAAGTTAATAGGATACATTCGTCTGACTTACTTGTTCCCCAATCAGAAGGACTGACTTTTGTTGTTTGGCGATCAAATCAACCAGATATTCCGTGCGCACGTTGTTCACGCTGGGAACGAGTAAAGTGGCATATTCCGGTGTGTAATCAGTCGGATAAACAAAAGATTCTACTTGAGTAGACCAGTGAACCCATTGTCCTGTCTCACTAACAAGATAGTCGTAGGCGCTGTCAGCGGAGTCTGTCGGGATGACTGGCAAATCCATTTTGATTTTGTCGTCGCTTCGTATAAACGTTTCAAGTTTCGATCGATCATCTCCTTCCAATAATGCTCCGATACTCCACAGTAGGGCAAATGCATAAAGTCTATCGAGATGCGATCCCAGGACCTTAGTGTGTGTATAAGAGCAAGACAAACACTGAAAAAGTTTTCGCGGTCTCATGAATATTAAAATTACAAACAATGACTAGTATCAGTAATTATTATGATTATGATTATTATTTTTGGTATTAGTAGTATCATATATTCACAAGGTAGGGCCGGGACGAGGATTGTTACTTATTACACATAACAATAAGGGTATCGTGAATTGGGACGTATACAACAAAATATCTTATTTTGAACAAGTCTTCAGAATTCCCACAAGCACAAAGGATGATTACTGGAACGGTCCGACAATATATACGCGTTTTCTATAGTTACAAAAGCCAGTGGTTTAATCTACTCGCGAATACCGTGGGAATCCAGTAACCGCTTCTTGGTGCGTGCAAACTACTCGAAACTGTGATTAGTACCTCACAGCATTAGTAATATTAGAAGTAATAGCGATAGTATTGACAGTAGTATTATTTTATCACATGTAGCGTTATTATATCCAAAGACTTCTATACCTTTTCAACTTCAAGTGGATCCGCCGTAACTTCAAGTGAATCCTTTTAGAGTATCAAGCTTGGATTAGCCCATTCGATTGTTCAGAGGCACCAGGCACTCTTGA